TGTTACGAAAACCCAGTAACAGGCTGGATGCTAGAAGGGCAGTCCTTTCTAGTGTTCACTGGAGATCTCTAAGCTTTTAGAATCGCGTTTTTTGTAACACACCAAGATATCAAGACTAAATGTCGAGAGGTATTACCTCAATATCTTTATTGATCTGAGAATTAGAAATTAGAGGGAGACAGAACCAAATCCAATATATGGCCACCAATGGGTGTGTGATAACAAATTATTCTCAAAATTATTCAAGTCTGTTCGCTCCAAGAACTTGCATGAATATTACATCTGTTGTAGCGCTCCCCCATGATTATAATTATAATACATCTGTTTGTGGACAATCAATCCAGTAGTCAATCATCATACACACACACACACACACACACACACACACACACACACACACACACACACACACACACACACCACACACACACACACACACACACACACACACACACACACAAAAGAAGATAACCAATCTCCATTGTAAAAGATTCAATAAGAAAACCAAATTTACATAATAAGAAACAATGAATCCACCATCAGTGCTAGGATGATACATAACCATCAGTCTCACAACTAGATGATGACAATGTGCTATTACTTCCATCACCTCAATTGACACAACAGACTGACCAACTGGTATATGATGAACACTTCCCAGAAATGAATAAATGACTGCTATATGTCTTTCTACCACCAAATTTGTTGGCTTATAGCAATTCTTCTACAATCATAATTTATATTATTTATGTTCCACTATCACTACTACTAGATACTACTGTTACATCAGAAACAACAAATCAGAAATAAAGATAATACTGACAAAAAACCATAATGAAAGTTAATAACACGAATGTCTGTAACACCTAGATCATCTGGCTAGACAGCAAATCAATGATACTACCACTTTCATGAAATAATTTTGAAAGTATATCCACTTGTCTCTCTTTCTCTTTTCCTTTCTTCCCTAGCAATCACCTCCTTCCCTCTTAATCCTCTTCCCTCCTCCCTCTCATCACAGCCAAATCCTAGAACCTGCATTAAATATATACTGTTATGCTGAATTTTGTAGGATACAAAATGTATGTACAGTAGTTTTTAATACATAAAATACAAGTTTTCCTTGCTCATTTGACTTCACTTTATGCAAATTCATGCAACATTAAAGATTCTTATGCAGAATTAAATATTGATTGCCTTTTTGCTTTTAGTACAGTTACCATGGATCTGGAATACACCTACTGCATAAAGCCAGGAGTCACTTGTTACAACTCTCTAAAACAAACAAAAAAAAAGTCACTGAAAATTGCTAAAGGAATTAAAATACTTAAGCCTTGAGACACACACTAATTTAAAGAACATAAAATTATGAAGAGCCCTAACACTTAAAATGGCTTTTGTTTTAATGTGGCTGTTTCCCAAGAAAGGGAGTGACAAAAAAAAATAAAAATAACTATCACTCACTCCTTAGCTGTTTCTTCAGAGGTGCACAGTCATCACAATATAATAACTCAATGAACTGAAAATATACCTAACCATCATTCAATGCTCAGACACTGCACTTCCCACAACCCAAACTCAAGTCTGGCTAATGAGCTTTTTCTGAATTACTTCACTGATATTACAATGCTTACACTCCAACAGCATGTCAAATCCAAAGAACTACTTATCTCCACTCACTTCAATCTAACATGCTCACACACACCTGGATGCTCAAGGCCCTACCTCCCAAAATGTCCTTCACACCCTCCTTCTAACATTCTTTAACCCTTTGACTGTCGCGGCCGTATATATACGTTTTACGAGGTGCCGTGTTTGACGTATATATACTCATAAATTCTAGCGGCTTCAAATCAAGCAGGAGAAAGCTGGTAGGCCCACATGTGAGAGAATGGGTCTGTGTGGTCAGTGTGCACCATATAAAAAAAATCCTGGAGCACGCAGTGCATAATGAGAAAAAAAAAAACTCCGACCATTTTTTTTAATTAAAATGCCGACTTTGTGGTCTATTTTCGTATAGTATTTATGGTTGTATTCTCGTTTTCTTGGTCTCATTTGATAGAATGGAAAACATATTACAGAAATAGAGGTGATTTTGATTGATTTTACTATAAAAAGAACCTAGAAATGGAGCTCAAAGTAGGGAAATGTTTGATTTTGCCAATGTTCAAAAGTAAACAAATGATGCCATTGTCCAATAAATGTCCAACTAGCCATTCTAATATGCAGTCATGAATGGGTTGATGTTATTTATACAGTTATTACAGCATTGCAGTTAGTCTGCATAATAGTAAGTCTAATATTTTTTGTTTGAATAAAAATTCAAAATAGAAAGCAAGAGTAATATCAGAAGGGCCTGGAGACGTGACTGATGAACAAAGAAAATGTTATTTTAGAGCCAGGAATGTCTGCATTGTTCATTCTGGACCTTATTTTGAAATTGTCATATTTTTTAGTTTTTCGTGAAATTGGCCAAATTGCAAATTTCTGACCACATTATTAGGTAGTTGAAATCAGTAAATGGGCAGTTTCTTGTATTCAATCGATAGAAAAAATGAAGTTCTAAAGAAATAGCTATGAGTTTGGGCGACTGGAACAATGGAATTAGCCAAAAATAGGGCTCAAAGTGGGCGAAATCGCCGATTTGTAAACAGCGCCGAGGTCGCTAACTTCGCGAGAGCATAATTCCGTCAGTTTTCCATCAAATTTCTTTTTTTTTGGTGTCATTACAATCGGGAAAAGATTCTCTATCATTTCATAAGAAAAAATAATTTTTTTTTATTTTTTAAATTTTGCGACACCAGGAGACACCTCAGGATTGGGGGTTGCGACAGTCAAAGGGTTAACATTTTATGCACCTCCTGCCATCTACTCCAGATAAGTACACCCTCTATTTACCTTCTCCACTATATCTAAATGACCAAACCATCCCAATAACTCTTCCAGTCCCCGAATTATATATTTCATACAGCCACACCTTTTAATGTCTTCACTACTTCTGGTTCTACATAATATTCACACTATATCTATCTCAAACACATGTCCACTACCTCCAGTCTCTTCCTCACTACAACATTTAAAAACATCCCTCAAATGGTGGAGTTTGTGGCAGCATTCATTAAATATTTAAGTCATGGTTGCCAATCTTTAGTTTATTAAATAGTATGACTTACTGTTCATTAAGTTATGTTCTTAATACTGTATTCCACTCATTTCTTTACTGACATTAGTGAAAATTCCATCTTCCTTAAGCAAGGGCTCAATACTTGAGTTTGTTTCTTGTCTTGGATTTTGCATAAGAGAAACAGTATTTTGGGTTATTATACCTTACATTTTTCTAATAACTTTTTGAACTCTGTCTTAGCTCTTTGTTTTTTCTCTAACCAACAGTTTTTTTTCACTCTTTGGGAAATTCTAGTACTCCTCAGAAGTTCTGCAACTCTTCATCCTCATCTACAGAGAGAGCATCATTCTCTTTCTAACTTGCATCTTCTTTTCCTTTTTTCTTAACTGTAAGAGTCTGGAGCATGTTTCTAGTGTCACTGACCTCAAACTCTCAAGGCATTGGTTTATATTCAGGTCATTTATAATACCTTTTCAATCTATTTCATTTAAGTCTTGATTAACCTATGCCTAGTTCAGAGTTCTACTCTCACAGTCAAACCTGAGGCTAGATTTTCCTGTTAACTATCTGAACAACAAGGCTGTAGATGAATCAACAACAAGGCTGTTGCTGTTTGTGGCTCACAGGCCTACAGCAATATTTTTTATATCTACTAGTAGAAGTTTGAAAAGTGTTGAACCATGGATGATGGCACTGCTGCTGAAACTGCTTTCTAACTGTACTTACTCTTGTCCACTATCTATATTCTGCACATCTTCTCATATTTCTCACACTCCAGTGAGCAGTTATGGGAGAGTGCATATTATAATTTCCCGTATGCAATTTTTATGGAAACTACTGTAATTTCAGGACCAGTTATCTTCAGCAAAGTCAAACATTCACAATTGTAAAGAATATCTTCCTACATAATTAAACCATACAAAGATGGGATGAAAAAATAGTCTAGCACATGCTTGCCTAGATAAAACCTAAGTAACTCTATTGCAATTTAGATTCTTGAAAGAGATGTGAGAATTGAGAGTGATATGACATTTAACTTACAGGGAGTCCAAGCAAAGTTACTGCAACAAACAGTACTTGAAAATCACAGAAAAATCTTAGTATCTTAAGGAAGTTATAAGCAAGGGAAAAGCCTTTAGAGCTGAATGTTTCAGACACATCAAAAACACTTAGAGAAACATCTCTGACAGAGGTACAATACAACAACATGGTAGAGGACTTATCCATAGAATTTCTCACAAAAATAAACTTTTTAACAAATAAACAAAGTGTAACAAAAAAAGAATATTAGTTCCATTACCTTCTGTAATGGTTTATAAATTCCTTGCAATAAACTTCGTCTCATGGAAGGATAATACAGTACAGTGCGTCTGAGGAAAATTAACATTTATGATACATATTACCCTTGATGTGAAAGATAGGCAACAAGCTGACATCATATAGTAAATCACAGACAGGTAGACAGAGCCAGCTTTTGTTAGAGAGAATTCACTCAGTGAGAACTTTATCAAAGCTACCCTGACACACCTCTCACTCAGTCAATCATTATTTTATTTTAATAAAGGCTTGCTCTGTTTATGCCTTGATTCACCATGTTACCCTTAAAATTACCAATTACTGTAAGTTAAATAATAAACAGCTTAACATGTGTATAGTGTACTTAAGAACTATCTTACACTATTCAATACAGATATAAAATTCAAATCTAAAATATACCATCCTACACTATTCACTAGTATTGCAGTGCAAATTCTAATTCTCAAATTCTAATACAATGTGCCAACCTGCAATATTCAACACAGCTGCAAATTCCAATTCTGAAATTTTAATACCAAACTTAATCATTGGTATAATCTGTATTGTCAGATGTACCCACCTGAAGTGCTGCAACACCACCCATATCTAAGTCTTTAGATCGCAAGAGGTTGGGGGCCCACACAATGGCTATATTTTTTGCTGTCATACCCGTTTCTGCACTATGTGAAGCAACTCTTGCCAGGTGCTGCACAAGATATTCAAGCGTTCTGAAAAATTTAAGAGAAATAAAATTTAATGGTATAGGCTAATGCCATTCACTCTACAGAGTCAGTTGCAAGCCATAAGAATGCTCTGGGGCAGCATTCAACAGGGTATATTAAATATGCGAGTATAAAAAAATATATACTAATTCTTAACCCTTAAACTGTCCAAACATAGATCTACATTCACATGTGCAGTGCTCCAAAGTAGATCTACGTTTTTTTACATACAGTGGATCCCCGGTTCGCGATGCTATCGGTATCCGATAAATCTGGTAACCGATGCATTATATCGCCAAAAATTTGCCTCGGTTCCCGTTACAAAACCCGGTATGTGATGCGATTCGTATGAGACGTGTCCACATGTGGCCTGAACTTCCCCGTGTGTACCAGTGTTTACAAGCCAGCCAGTGTGCGCGCATCTAAGGATACATTCGGTACATTCCATATTATCACTGTTTTTGGTGCTTGTTTCTGCAAAATAAGTCACCATGGGCCCCAAGAAAGCTTCTAGTGCCAATCCTTCAAGACCAAGGGTGCTAATGACTATTGAAATGAAGAAAGAGATAATTGCAAAGTACAAATGTGGAGTGCGTGTGTCGGAGCTGGTCAGGTTGTATAGTAAACCCCAATCAACCATCTCTACTATAGTGAACAGGAAAACGGCAATCAAGGAAACTGTTTTTGCAAAAAAGGGGCAACTGTGATTACGAAACAGTGACCTCAAGTGTTAGAAAATGTTGAGAGACTGTTATTGGTGTGGATAAATGAAAAACAGAGAGCAGGAGATAGCATCTCTCAAGCGATCATTTGTGAAAAGGCTAGGCAGTTGCATGACGATTTGTTAAAGAAATTGCCTGCAACTAGTGGTGATGTGAGTGAATTTAAGGCCAGCAAAGGGTTTGGTTTGAAAGATTTAAAAATCGTAGTGGCATACATAGTGTGATTAGGCATGGTGAGGCTGCCAGTTCAGACCACAAAGCGGCTGGAAAATATATGTGCATGAATTCAAGGAGTACATAGAGGCTGAAGAATTGAAGTCTGAACAAGTGTTTAATTGTGATGAAACAGGCCTGTTTTGGAAGAAATTGCCAAGCAGGGCCTACATTACTCAGGAGGAAAAGCTACCTCAAGTCCTAATGGAAGGGGATTCCCCTTCTAAACAATAGGTTCAACACTCTCCCCTCCTCCCATCCCATCAATCATCACCATATCTTCATTAAAGTAAGTGTCAATTATTCTATTGTTATTGTTGTTATTGTAATTATTCTATTGCATTAAACTTAATATTTCATGTGGTAAAAGTTTTTTTTTCATACTTTTGGGTGTCTTGCACGGATTAATTTGATTTCCATTATTTCTTATGGGGAAAATTGATTCGCTTTCCGATAATTTTGGTTTACGATGAGCTCTCAGGAACGGATTAATATCGCGAACCAGGGGTCCACTGTATTTTTAAATATAAAAAAAATGTAGATCAAAGTTTTTTTATACGCTTTCAAATGTAAAAAAAAAAAGATCTACATTTTTTTACTTTCAAATGTTGAAAAAACGTAGATCTACATTTGGACAGTTTAAGAGTTAAAGTAATTATTTAACCATAACACTGTTATAAAAAAATTTGGACTTACATTTGGAGTAAGCAAGGTCCCAGAACCAAAACCTGTCCAATAAAATGTCCCAGTGTTTGAATTTTGTGTCGTCTTTGCAACAACCTTTCAGTATCACATACCTTTGTAACCTTCATTTATCTACCTGCATAATCAGTTCATGCTAAAATATACTGCATATTCATTCAGGATATTAATACAATACATGTATAATATCAAATGATCTAATATCTCTGATGTATAAATTTAAGTAGAAATTTTGTGTGGGACTGGTAAGGATTTTTACATATTTTTTTTTTAACACTCTGGCTATCTTCCACCAAGGCAGGGTGACCCCATAAAAGAAACACTTTCACTATCATTCACTTCATCACCATCTTACCAGATGAATAACGATACAACAATTCAGATGCCCCCAAATTGCAAATATCACCACCCCTCCTTCAGATTTCAGGCACTCCAGCACTCAAAGTCCAGCTAACTGGTTTTCTTGAATCCCTTCACAAAATGTTACCTTGCTCACACTCCAACAGCTCGTCAAGTCCTAAAACCCATTTGCTTCCAATCCTGCTGGACATCCAGGCACCTTGCACACATTTTTATGACAAAGTTTTCTACTCAGCTCTATAAAGTATTGCAGGATAAAACATACCAGATGCACTACAGAACACTTAAGCACTGCAATATAGCTACCAGTACTAACAATTCTACATCGACATCAACATGAAAGCCATAGCCATCCACCTCAGTCTAGTAGGTCCATATCAACTCCATACTTTTCCATTTAATGAAGAAAGCATTACCAAAATGTGAGGCAAGTTATACTGTATTTTTTATCTAGTACAATAATAAAATAAAAAACACTTTTCAATTTTAGAGATGCCTGCAACACAATGCTATTTTTCCCACATGTTCTTCACTTCATGACACATGTTACATTACATGTTAATTTTCTGAAAAATACCCCACATGTTATGATAGAATTTCCCATTTATATTTCTATCTTTCTGTTTTGCTTCCACTTTACTGATAATTTTCCTATATAGTATATAATTTAGTTGTAAAATGTTTCAAATGGGGATTTAAGCATTTTAATTCTGGACAAAACAGTAAGATACGTATCCAGATTTTTTAATTAATCTTTATTAGGGAAAGCATTAAACTCATGGGGGTCATACAGCACCTGGGTAATGAGAGGCATTCAGGTTCGATGCAAGGAAGATGATAAGTTTAGAGCCTTGAATCAAGAGCCACTCAATAGCATCAAGGCAACTACTTTGAAAGGACACATCCAAACATGAATCTGTGTAAAGCTACATAGCTAAAACACAAATCTAGACAAAACTAAATGTTAACAGTTATGTAATTTTACTTAATTAATCATGTAAAGTTATGAAATTCAGTACAGTATTTTACAATAAAATATTAATTTACACCATTGAAAAATACAGTGAACCTCCAGTTTTCATACTTAATCTGTTCCAGAAGGTTGGTCTAAAACCAAAACATACAAAAACTGAATTAATATTTCCCATAAGAAATAATGTAAATACAATTAATCCGTTCCAGACACCCAAAAATATTAACAAAAAATACATTTTTTAAACAATAACTATAGTTTTACATACAGAAAACAATGAGAAATAAATATAAATGACTAATTTTAATGATAAATGAAAATGTTGAATACTCTTGTTGGTGTATTGAAGAAGGCGAGGAGGGGAGAGGAAGTTGGGGGTTATTGTTTGGAAGGGAAATCCCCCTCCATAAGGACTTCAGGTATCAAAGCCCTCTCTGGGGTTACTTCCCTTCTTTGTTTTTTACTGGCAGTGGACCCCTGTCACACTAAAAATCTGTCCAGAGAGCTCTATTTCAGGTATATCTTTAAGATTTGCCTAAAATGGGACTGAACTTGTAGATATGGCTTGTATTAGCTTTGTCAGAGTGGTATTTTTCAACAAAAGTTTGCAGCTCATTCCACGTTGCACACATGTCCTTAATCACTGAAGAAGACACTTTATCCTCTCTCTCTTCCTCCTCCTCTGAAGCAATTTCCTCAGCTGTGGTCTGTTGCTGTTCCAGATGAAAGTCTTGCAGCTCTTCAGTGGTTAGCTCTTCTCTGTGGTCCTCCACCAACTCTTCCACATCCTGGCCACTCACCCCACCCCTTCTTTACCATAGGGCTGGCACTGGGAACTTTCTTTGGGCCCATGATGGCTTATTTCGCAGTTGCAATCAATAAATAAGTACAAAAATTGCAAAATGTTTCAGATGAATGCTCACTCAACCAGTGACAAAGCCAGACTGACGACGGTCCCAGGCTGGCAGACGCGTATGATACGTACGATTTCTGGATTGAGGTACGAAAACCGGACCAAAATTTCACCCAAACAAGTGTTCTAAAACTGAATTGTACAATATGCGGACTGTACGAAAACAGGAGGTCCACTGTACTGAATTTCATAACTTCTACAGGATAAATTAAATAAACTTTGTTTACAAAAGTTACTCTACATTTATATGTTTAACCACCACATAGTGTGTTAGCTCACAACTGAAAGTACCCAGGGTCAAACCCTGGGTGAAGTGGGATGTACTGTATGAGCAAGTCTCCTAAAATCTGCTGTCCCTGTTATCTAGCAGTAAATAGATGCCTTTGAATTAGTTAACTGTTGTAGACTGTATCCTGGAGTAGGGCCTAAACAAGGACCCCAATGTAAATATCCATGCAGGTTATACTGTACTACAAAACACAGTTATTTACCTATAGTGTGGAGGAGGCAGTTGTTGAACCACATCTCTTAAGTACAAAAGTCGTATATCCTCGTCTTGGATCACAGCTGCCACAAATTTTTCATACAGCTGATATGTTAAGAGAGGATTAGGCAACTCTCTAAAGTACATTTTTAACACTGATGAAACACAGTGAATATCTTGAACAATGCTGTCATCCCCATACAGGTCTGGTATTCTATCCTCATCAAATGCATTTCTGCAGAATACAGAACAAATGATTATGTACCCACAGTATATCCTTCTAGCAAAGCAGTACTGCACTGTATTTCTTTATTAATAATTTGATATATATACACTATTATTTTGTCTTGAGCATATAATTAATTGTAGTGTTTTCATAAGCAGTTTAACTACAACATAAATATCACAGTAAAAATTACCTTAATTTCTGGATATTGGATGTAATACCAGAAAGACGGTAAATGCCATCAACAACACCATGGCTCTCCAGAAATTCTGAACAGCAGCGTAACACCATGGGAATTTCATGGCCAGAGTTTAAAAGATGTTCTCCTAGGTCACAACCAAATACCCGCTCACGCAAGATACCAGACTGCTTTAGTTTCCGCCGTGAAGGTCGAGAGAGAATGAAGCTCCTGAAATATTGGTTAAAATTTATACTGTACATAGCACTAGTGTGTAGTATTTGTTTAGGTGTTTCACTGAAATCTGTAAATTGTATAAAAACATACTAATATCATAACTGTATTGACACCTGAGATAATAAATACACAACCTAACATAACCACAGAAAATATCAATGAAGATGTAGCTATGTCTGACTATAGTAAATTATATTTTTTGTCTTCCCCATAATTAACTTCCAATCTCAACTACATAAAATGTATTACAGCTTGAGGGCAACTTCTCCACAACAGGGTCACCTCTAGCCAATAATATTTCAGACACTCAAACCCATGCCAGGTAACTATCTGAACTTCTTAAAGTACTTGGCACCATCCTCTCCTGAAATAAACTCCATAATAAAAATAAGGCAACCAAGAATTTGAAATACATATATGTCTATAAACATTCACTGCAATACTCTATCAAGTCACTAATCCAAAGCATTTTCAGAAACACTCAACTAGCCAGTCACTCTAGTCCACAAAAGCAGAGATCTCTCTGACAAACAACTGTAGAACATGATAATATCAAATCTGTCAAAAGAGTACTGTTAAGAAATATTTGAGAAATACTCTAGGAAATACACTACATAAGGAAACAAACTTAATGTATGGCAATTTAGTTTCAGGCCCAAAAATAGGTTGCGTATTGCAATAAAGAGGAAGAAATTTTCTAGGGGAAACAGGACCATTACATGCTGAAAATCCCTGATTAGTCAGGTTGTAATGGCTATGTGGGCCAACATGTCATCAGCTGAATTTTGTTATGCAGTTTCTTAATCGGGGAAAGTGCTAAACCCACAGTGGTTCTATAATGCCTGGGAAATGAAAAGCATTCAGATTGAATTGAAGAAAGGGGAAGATAGTCCAATTCCTAGAGCCCCTCACCAACATCAAGGTCCCTCCCCTGAAAGGACTACTAGCTGCAGCAACCTGGTTGACCAGGTAATCAACAAAAAAGCCTGAGCAGTTTCAAGGGTAGAAGAACTCTTGAAACTGCTCACATGTAAAGAGCCCTTGAAACTGTTCATATGTACGTCGTAAGTGAGCCTATAACACCATAACAAAATGCATGACAATCTAAACTTTGCTTCAAAAAGATAAATACAATATCCTCTATGAATATATACTGACCTGCAAAAAAGTATTTGATACTACTGCTTAAAATTTCTTTCTTAAACTAAAGTCCTATGAACTCAAAAGCCATACAGTCTCCTTTATCAAATACTGCCTCATTAACACATACCAAAACAAAACCACAAGTGGTATTTCTTTACTTACGTATCTTTACTATTTCACAATTTATATCAGTAACCTACAAGATTTGCTAAGCACCTTCAACCAGTGCTACTTACAGATGATGGAACAGAGATTGATGGGCAGTGCACAGCAAGGTATGCTTACATAAGCTGTAGTTTTGCCTAAAATGTTGTGCATATTATGGACTTTCCATACAATACCATAGCAAATTGTAATCCCACAAAAAACTTACAAAAATTTATATACAGGAAGGTTACACTTTACAGCACTTTACTTTACAGTATTTTGCTAATGCAGTGGTTTACAATTACTATACCCATTCTTCATTTATTCAGACTTCCTACAATAAATATATACACCACTGACTATAGGCTAAGGATGAAAATATTTTAAGGTAAGTAATGCGTGTACAGTAGAGCCCTGCTTTACGGTGTTTGGCCTTACGGCAGTCCGCTAATACAGACATTTCAAATTATGACCATAACTCGCTATAGGGTTCCCCCCCACCTGACTTTCTAAAATGGTCACTGCGCCCCACCCGGTTTGTTTACATTCTCCATGAAATCCATGAGCATTGCGTCTCTCCATTATATCTGGAAACTTTCCAAAATTTCAAGTGTTTTAAAGTTATTTCATGTTTTAAATATGTACAAGTCCACCATCACAAATCTGGCATCACTGGGACCTGTAGTGTGCTGGATTACTGAGTTCGCCAGATTATAGAGCGGTTAGGTTAGAATACACATAATAAAGTTAACCAACTTTACTTACACAAGAAAGTTCATTGAACATCGGCAAAAATCAAACATTTCTGCTACTTTGAGCTCAATTGCATGGTACTTTTTGTCAAAATCATATCTATTTCTGTAATATACAGTGGACCCCCGGTTAACGAACTTTTTTCATTCCAGTAGTATGTTCAGGTGCCAGTACTGACCGAATTTTTTCCCATAAGGAATATTGTGAAGTAGATTAGTCCATTTCAGACCCCCAAACATACACGTACAAACGCACTTACATAAATACACTTACATAATTGGTCGCATTTGGAGGTGATCGTTAAGCGGGGGTCCACTGTATCTTCCATTCTATCAAATGAGACAAAAAAAAAAAAACGAGAACACAACCATAAAAACCATATGAAAATATACCACTAAGAGGTGCCTAATGGCTGAGAAGTGAACTCCATTATTTATCGACCAATTTTTTTCATTTTTGGTGTACGTTAAGAAGCATCTTTCCATCATACATTGCCCAAGTTTCAATAAAATCGCCCAACAAACAACTGAGAAAAAAATATTTACCAAAAATCATATATGGCAAGCCCAAGCCAAGTACTGGAAATAAGTCACTCTTTCTGGCTTTTTTGGGATATCCTCGGTTCTCTATACATACACTGCTATGTATGATAATCTATGCAACTGTATTTTGTGTACCTGAATAAACTTACTTATTTCTATTCTCTCGACTGAGCACAAGAATCTGCCCATTCATCTATTTCAACTACCCAATAAAGTGGTCAGAAATTGGCAATTTGGCCAATTTCACACAAATTTCAAAAGATGCCAATTTCAAAACAGAGTCCAGAATAAACAATGCAGACATTCTTGGCACTAAAATAACATTTTCTCTGTTCATTAGTCATGGCTCCAGGCCCCTCTTATATTACTCTTGCTTACCATTTGGAATTTTTATTCACACAAAAAATAGAAGATTTACTATTATGCAATAGTATACATACAATTATTTATACGATTATTATTATAATAATTGTATAAATAATGTCAATCCATTCATGATTGTGTATTGGAATTTGGACTAGCAGGCGGACATGTATTAGACGGTGACGTCATTTATTTACTCTTGAACATCGCCAAAGAATCAAACATTTCCACTACTTCGAGCTCAATTTCAAGCAATCAAAATTATCTCTATTTCTGTAATATATCTTCCATTCTATCAAATGAGACCAAAAACGAGAATACAACCATAAAAACCATACAAAAATATACCGCTAAGGGGCGGCTAATGACTGAGAAATGAACTCCTTTATTTATGGTCAGATTTCTTGTATGTTTGGTGTATGTTAGGAAGCATCTTTCCATCATACATTGCCCAAGTTTCAGTAAGATAGTCCAAGAAATGAGAAGAAATTATTTACCAAAAATCATATATGGCTAACCCAAGCCAGGTGCTACTAGAAATAAGTCACTTTGTCTGACTTTTTTGGGTTATCCTTGGTTCTCTACACATATGCTGCTATGAATGATAATCTATTTAGAGAAAATAGCTTTTTTGTTTCAGTTTTATGGTGCACTACAAGTGTATATCACAGTTAGCCTTGTGCTATACTCCATTTTCTCTAATATAAGCCCCCAAGACAGGGACAGGAGAATGGTACTTGTATCCCATATCCTCTTCATACCTCCGTCGAACTGCTCGGTATTATGCCAAATATTATTCATTCTGGAGTATTTAACATGTTTTAAGTTATTTATATTGTTTATTATGTCATATTAGATCAATTGTGATAGGTAAATAAGCCGTATTGTTGATATTAGCGTAATAATACAGCATATTCCCCTGCATCACGAGACTGAGCTCATGGCAACCGACAGTGGCTGCAAAGCCACCTTATCTTTTATGAACAATGTACTGTGTATGTGCTTTACACAACGAGAAGCATTTCTTTTATTCATTGGAACCATGGCTAAAAGTAAGCAGGTTATAACAATAAATGGAGAAAAAGAAATTAGAATGACTTATGCAGCAAGTAGTGCCACCAAACAGTACCAGCAGGTTGGTGTGGCGACCCTGGAAATTTAAAATTATGCTAGCCGAAATAAGTGCTGAATAACTGATGGAACCAAATGTCTGATTGCCGGATTTGTCATGGCAGACCTGTACACTTATTATACTTATGTGTACCTGTACTGTACCTACATAAATAAACTTACACACTGTTAGCATGCAGATATACAACAAATCACTAAGAGTCTCTAATTAGTCTTGAGGACGCGATATTAACCCTTTGACTGTCGCAAGCCCTTTTCTGAAACTGTCATTTTATGTCACAAAATTTTTGGAAAAAAAAAAATGTTTTTTTCTTAAGAAATGATAGAGAATTTTCCCGATCGTAACAACACCAAAAGTACAAAATTTGGTCGAAAACTCATGGAATTACGCTCCCGCGAAGTTAGCAGATTCGGAGACATATACGCATCGGCGATTTCGCCGACTCTTAGCCCTATTTTTGGCCAATTCCATTGTTCCAGTTGACCAACTTTGTAGCTATTTTTTTAGAGCACCATTTTTTCTATCAACTGAGTACAAGAAACTGCCCATTTATCGATTTGAACTACCCAATAAAGTGGTCAGAAATTGGCAATTTGGCCAATTTCACGCAAATTAAAAAAGATGCCAATTTCAAAATAGGGTCCAGAATAAATAATGTAGACATTCTTGGCACTAAAATAACATATCCTCTGTTCATTAGTCACATCTCTAGGCCCCTCTTATATTACTATTGCTTTCTATTTTGATTTTTTATTCATACAAAAAAACAAAAGTTACTGTTATGCAGACTACTGCATTATTGTAAAAATGGTATAAATATCATCAGTGCACTAGTGAAAGAATATTAGACTCCCCAGTTGACGTGTATTGGACGTGTGGTGTGATTTGCTTACTCTTGAATATTGGTAAAAAAA